GATAGGGTAGGGGACGAACCCAGTGTGGATTATTGCAAAAAATAAATAAAAGAAGAAAAATAGAGGCGTCGGCGTGTAGATTGACCTCTTTCGCTTGACGAGCCTGGAGGAACATTTTAGTCTCATTTTAAAAAGCCAGTTTCTGCACAGGTGGCGGCAGCACAGGCAGGTACAAGGGGCACGTGGAGGGCGCCGCGCTGCAGATGCCCTTCGCCGCGGCTCGGGACGGCGTGTGCTCCGCTTGGCCGCCATTCAGTAAACGCTGCGTGAAGCGGCGGGAGCTCGTGGTTTTGGATGTACTTTTCAGGAGTATGTTTTCCAGTGGAGTAAGGCTTAGTATTGAATGGGAGCTTTCTTTGCCTCTCTGAGGACAGACAGGAGTGTTTGTTTTTGTTGTCTTCTCATTTTGTTACATTGTGTACGAGGGAAAAGTGAAGGCGATGTTTTGGTTTAGTGTTTTTAATTCTATGGAGTTCTGCTACCCTCTCCCCCCCCTCCCCGCCCCCACCCCCAGGGTTTTTACTTTAGAGAATTATGGTAGGTTTTTCTTTTGCTGTTTAACTAAAAATTCAAGATAGACTTAAAAATCATTCTTATGGGACATTTTTATTTCGCATACCTCCACTTGGCGTTTTCTGTTTGTCTCTTTCCAACTGACCTCCATTTAACAATCTACAATGATGGCCCTACCCAATTTAGGACATCTACAGAAAAAATACATTTAAAAAATAATGTATAAGAATTATTTTAAAAATACATATTTTAAATGAGAATTATTAATAACATTCATTTGTGAGAAACATGATTTAGTTTACTCATTTGTTTCTAATGTGCCTTGTTTTATGTCTCTATTGGATATGATTTATACTTAAGAGATGTAAGTTTAACTTCTTAAGAACAAAGTTATAATTTTTATTTAATTATGTTACCTTATTAGTGTCTCGAATGGTAATTTTACTTAGCTAATTAGTAACACTCTTTAAAGCTGAACTCTAACCAACAGGCTAGTTGTGACTATTTGGGATTTTAAAAAAATAATCAAAATTGGTCTTTGTGCAATGTTTTATTTTTCTAGAACAGGCTTACATGTTATGCGGTTTTTTGTCTTTCCAACATTTAACAAAACAAGTATGTTTCCGAATAATTTTTTTTCTTTTGGGGAATTTGGGGTGAATGTCTTTTGTAAAACGTAATTTTAACCAGTTCAACCCGAAGAACTTAAAAAATATTGGATTAGATGACTAATTAAATCTTAAAATTTCTGTTTATCCTTGGATTGGAAAAGACTACATATCTTGGGTTATTTTTAGTTTCCTAAAGGTTTCTTAGCTTAAGAGGAGTCAGACTAGAGAAGAAAGGACATCCTTTTCTATAGCTGTAGGAGAAGTTATTATTAAAGGCTGGCTTGGCTTTTTGATTGAACAGTGGGTCCTCTTCAGGTAGTGTTTTATTTTCAATATAAAGTAGTAAGGAATCACATATGATTAGGGAATATATTAGTTTAACTACTATGCGTAATTAGAAATTTTACAATCTTTATTCTATGATGGTGTTTATGCCACATATAAATTAAAGTTATAGTTTTATTTATACAAAATTATACTTTAGGAACTTTATAAAAGTGCCTTTTATAATTAAAAGCTCATTTTCAGTTTTTAGATATTTTAATTACTGATTTTTGTTCATTTTAACTTGTGGTAGATCATATCATAAAATTATCAACCACATTTCAGTTTCAAAATTAAGCATAAGTTGAATTCTCACATCTACACAGTAAATATTGGGAGTGTTTGTAAGTCATTTACCTTCAGGTGTAGCTTCTTTTGAGTTTGGGGGGTGGGCAAATAATTTTAAATGAATAAAACGCCAAAAAATAAGGACATGTTAAAACAGCTAAATTCAAGGCTAATTCAAATGACACTGTTAGACATTAATACTGCCTTATTTAACAGTAATATGCATAATATACCTGGCATTAGGAATAGCCACGATAGGCCTTTAATATATTGTATTATTTTCCATATGAACAACTGTAAAGCTACTTTTGCCCCACCCTGTATAATCATCACAATTCCTAAAGAAGAATCTGTATTATACATATCTTTGCATACTAAATTCTATAATTATTTAATGCTATAATTTTTAAACTATTTGAGCTTTCTAACCTAGCTGATTAGTAATTAGATTTTGTTTTTTCATTATTTTACATTTCTGAGTTTTCTATAGTGCATTTTTAATTTCTGACATTAATCTCACAAAGTGTAAAGAAAATTAAATTTACACTCATCAGAAACTGGGTGGACATTGGTATATAAATCACATAACTATTGATTTAAAAACAATAGCCACTTAAGTGTGCTTTAATTTGCAAAGAAGATGTTCTTTTATTGTATAAAAGAGACTTCTGCCAATGAGACACGTTAGGATACTTTATAGTAGGACCTTATGTAACCTTGTCACCTTAATCTCTGTAGCTCACAGGTTACTAAGGATATTTTAGCAGTCTTTGAAACACTGAAATTCAAGAACTGACAATAATTTGTACCTTACAGTTTGTTATGATGAGAATTGACCTACACTCTGCTGAAATTTAAACATGTAAGACCATAGCCCTCCAAAGGGACAAGTTCATTTTATGCTTTATTTAGTATTTAATTCTAGTCTTCTGGAAAATGTCTGGTTAATGAGAGAGAAGTATCACCAGAGGGAGTATACCTGTTATACTCCCACATTTGTTATACCTGTTTTCTACCCTTGGTCTGGGAGAAAAAACCCACTTTAAAAATAAGAATAAAATTTTATTTTAGTTCTCAAACAATTAGACAAAAGATATTGAAAGTAAGTTGGGAATTGTAGCTGTTTGGAGCTGCTATCATTTATGTAATAGTTAATCAAGTTGTTTTCTTTTAGAAAGAGGTACAGTTATTAGAAAAATGAAAATGGTGTATTTTCAGAGTGAAATAATGGGTTTTTAAGTAAACAGTTACACATCTGTGAAAGTTAAGGAACATCCAAATACTAAAAATGTTTTTTTTAAGATAAAAAATGTAGTACATTTAAATTGTTTGTTCTTGAAATTGCTCATATTTTGGAAGGAGGAATAAAGATGAAGAAATATCAAAGACTAGAAGAAGGTTCTTTTCCCTTTTGTAGTTGGGTGGGGGAGGGGAAAGCAGGCAGTGGTTAATTCTAGAACCATTTGTAATATTCTGCCTCCATCGTGGCATTTATAGATGATGTTAAATGAGGAGCCACTCGTAGGGCCTTGAAAATGACCATATGATTGTCAGAAGCAGGGTTGGAAATTTCAGTTTGATATCTTCAGAAATAAGATTTGTGCATATGTTTCTTTCCTGCCTCTGGAAATTAAGAACCTCCTTTTCTGTCAGCTAAAAATTACACAGTGGAATTTGAAAGTCAGAATGTCTCTATCACAGACTTAAGGCTGCAGTGAATTACTTTTAGGAATGGAGAAAATATAATTTGAATGAGGATAAAATAGTCTTTACTCATGTTAAATATTAACTGATGGAATTATTTCCATGTTTAACTTTTTAAAAAGGCAAGGCAAAATAAAATCTTGTAATCTTAACTTATTTTAGGTTTTGCCTCTACCTTAAAAATTATTACATGATGGATGATAACATTTAATGTTTTGAAATTCTAGTTTGGGAAGGAGATTTGTTACGAGGAGATTATTTCATTGAAGCAAAACAGGGTAGTTTACATGGAGAGAAATTCGTTTCTTTTGACTTACTCTTAAGTCAATACATAATACTTATTAAGAAAAATTGAGATGGTCATCTTTCCCATCTTAGATTTTCACTATGAACTTTATAAATTATTTTAATGTATCTTTGTTGGTACTGGATGGACTTCTTAGAATCTGTTCATTTATATACACATATATATATGGGTGTGTGTGCAGTTGACCCTTGAACAAGGCAGGGTAGGGGTGTTGACCCCCGGCTCCCCAAGCTGAAAACCCAAGTATATCTTTTGACTCCTCCAAAACTTAACTATAGTCGGCCCTTCATATCCATGGATTTAACCAATTGCAACCCAAAAAGATACTTTCTTAAAAAAACACACACAAACTTTTATTGATTTTAGAGAGAAAAGGAGAGGGGGAGAGAGAAATAGAAACATCGCTTATGAGAGAGAATCATTCATTAG